TCAGCGGCAGGGTTCGCATAGCGGCCTCGGGCCATTTCGGCACGCCCGTCACGAGGATCGTGGCCCCATAGGAGCTCCACCGAAGGCGCCAGTGACAGCTTCCCTCATGGCTCTCAGAGCCTTCTCCTGCTTCTGCTCCTCGGTCAGGGGGGCGCCGTATGTGCGGAGGCCCGCGTGGTGTTGGCCCGGGAGCGTCGATTGAAGGGGCAGTCGGACCTTGATCAGGTCTCGAAGAGCTCCAAGTTCCAGGGCTGGAAGTCCCTGTGGGCCCCAAGGCTCGCAGGCGATGGAGGTGGCGCGTCTTCTGGAGTGTGCGTTCTGGTCAAGGACGCCTTCGGCCTCTTTGCCTCCATGGATCGGCGCGTGCTGGTCGACGGGAGGGCCGCCGCAGTCATGGCGCGCGTGCCAGGCTGCGCGGCGTCCTGCGTCGTCTCGCTTTACCTGGTCCACGGCGAAGGTCCATCAGCCGCAAACCTTGGGATTCTCAAAGCGATTGGGGAGTTTCTTGAACACTTGGAGTGTGAATTTATGATCGGGGGCGATTGGAACTTTGGCCCTGAGACCTTGGGTTCCTGCGACTGTACCAAGCTCGTCCACGGGACCTTGGTCTCTGCTGAGGGCCGCGCCCATTTCTCGAGCTCGGGGAGCCGTGATCGGTTTGATTTTTTCGTGATTTCGCATGCTCCGATTTTGTGTTTTTAAGTCGGTCGCCGTTGCGGGGGGCACCGCGCTCGCCCCCCGTCGGCCTGTTGCGATGCGCTTCCGCGCGTCGCTCGGTGATCTCAGGGCTCTCGCCTTCCGTCGGCCCCCCGACCTTCCCGTCTCCCTTCCAACGGGCCCTCGGCTCCAGGCTGGCACCTGGGGTAGGGCCTTGGCCCCGGCCCAAGATGCCCACGGTGCGGTGCAGAGCGGCGAAGGCGATCGCGCCCGGCGCTTGCTCGCGCCAGGTTCTAAAGAGTGGGCTAACTCGGGTTCCTCTGGGGATGCGCGGCAAAAGGCCCCAGATGTATTGGAAGTCAATGCTTGAAGCAGGTGGTCGAGCCGAAGATCGCCACATCAGGTTTTTTCTTTGGCTCTCAAGCCAGTTGCGAGCTTCGAGGTGCTATCTTTCGGAACAAGGGCTTCTGGATGGAGGCCGTCTTGTTCTGGCGGCGCTGGCGCAGCCTCCTGCCTCTGTTCAGCCTGCTGCAGGCTCAGACTGGACTTCGTTTTTTGATGCCGCGGCGGGCTTGGCTCGCCGGGCCCATAGCTCGGTGCTGGATCCCGAGCTGGCCACCGATCTGGGCTGACTCATCCAGGATGTGGCGTCTGCTTGTGCGTCCGCTGAGGCCACCGCCGCGGCAGCGTCGAGGCGGGAGTGGCAAGACTGGGTGCGCACTGGGCTCGAGAAGGGAGGTAAGCGTGCGCAGCGAGCCATCCAAGACCCCGAACCCTGGCACCCTCCACCACGCTCTCTCGTGCTGGGGCCATTGTGTGTGTGTGTGTGTGTGTGTTTGTGTGACCCATCCAGCCTTCTTTAATCCGAGGGGGTCGAGTTTTCGGTGATTTGGAAGCAGGGGGGCGGCCAGGGGGTTAGCGCTACTCTTACGGCCCACTCCCCCCTTCTCGAGCCTTCAGACCGCCGTGAAGTTTCCAAGGAATACCGCGCCAGCAGTGCGGTGAGTCCGGGCGGCTTTCACTGCCGACAGTTTTGTCTTTTGCCCGACGAAGCCCTGAGGGCCATGGCCCTCTGGTTTGCTGTCGTGGAGGCCGCGGGGGCCGCCCCCCTGCAGCTTTCTCTGGTTCTGATGGCTCTCTTGGGGAAGCCCACGGGGGGGCTACCACCGACTGGAGTCTCCCCGAGTTGGTTTCGCGTCTGGGGTCGGCGCCGCCGTCCCGAAGCCTCTGCGTGGGGAGCTCCAGCCCTGCCAGGGATCCTGCTGGGCCGCGGGGGCCCACCGAGGGGCTGGGGGCGTTGTCTGGAGGCGGGCGCTCCGAGCTGAATCGGGCAATCGTAGAGGCGACGTCAGCGCCTCGCTTTTTCGGGATTTGAGGAACGACTATGAGCACCTCGACTTGCAATACTTGTGGCACAATTGCCAGCAGCATTGCTTCCCTCGTTGCCTGGCGCGTTTGGCCATTAGAGGATATTCGGGGGCCAGATACCTGTCCCTGGGGTGTGTGGAATGTCCGTATTTCGTGTCCAATGGTGTCGTCGCGGGTTGTTCGTTTGCGACCAGCCTCATCAGGGTGTTCGCTGTGGATGCTTTCGACCCCACCCCAAGCTCTTTAGAGTGTGATTCTGTCGTCTACATCGACGACCTCAGTCTCAGTTGCGCGGGACGTCCCCGAGCGGTTGCTGACGCCCTGATCTCGGTACCAGCTCGCCATGGACAAGATGGGCATGGTCTCCAGCTCTGAGGCTGTGGCTGACCAGTTGATCTCGGAGCTGGGGCCCCCAGTGGGAGGTCGAGCGTGTTCTCGAGTCACCAGCTTCGGTGTGTACTGCACTGCTGGGCGCGCCCTTCGTGCCCCAGGAGCGAAGAGATCTGCGACGCTCAAGCAACGGGCTGCGGGGGGCCTGCAGGAAGGCGAAGCGTCTGAAACAACTCAGTAGTGATCTTGGGCGCCGTGCCTTGCAAGTTTTTGCTGCGGGACCGATGGCCGGGTCAGTCTGCGGCTCAGATATTTTTGGAATTTCGGACAGAGAACTTCTGGACCTCGGGAGGATGGCCACGTCGTCCGTCAAACCTCGGGCCCAAGGGCGCTTCCTTTCGGTTCTGTGTCTTCTTAAAGGGGGGGCCCGCCTGGAGGACCAGCTGTGCCCCAATTAGCAGGTGGGCGAATGAAATATGGATCCTGCAAGCCCGTGCCTTTCCGTGGTCTTTGAGCTGGGCCGAAATGCGTGAGGGGTGGTCCGCTGTCTTCGCTTCCGATGACCATTCCTGGTCCAAGGTTTCGGGGCTTGTTTCCGCGCTCAGGATTTCCCTGTGCAGGTTGGGCTGGACTGTGCCCAACTTCTGTGCTACTATCGACGATTTTGGGGTGTGATATTCCCCTTGCTTTTTCTTCCTCGAAGCTGGTCAAACATTATTGTCCTTCTCTCTGAGCCTTGAACGAGATTCGGGGGACAAGTTTAAGGTTTGCGAGAGGCTGTGCTGGGATGTTCAGAAGAGGCTCTTGGCCTCGAAGACGATTTCGGGAAAAGGGGTGGCAGCGCGCTGTCTACGAACGCCTGCTGGGCAGCCGGCAACGCGGCCAACCTCGGCTACCCCATTTCAAGTCTTTGCAGTTCGTGCGGCGAGGCCAAGGATAGCCTTTGCCACAGGTTGTGCGAGTGCCCGTGTGTTCAAGACGAGCGGGCTGATCCTCTTCCTGACTGGGTGCGACGAGCAGCGTGTGAACGAGATTGGACAGACCCCGAACATCGTGCCCTCTTCCTGTTTTGTACGTTCAAGCATCCAGGGGATTGCGCGCCGCTTTCACCCACGGATGGAGAAGTAACGCTTTCCTGGCACGTTGAAAGCCTGCCTGATCCAGCTGACCCCTCCTTCCCTCGCAACATTCCTCCAGGTAATGAATGGGTTCTGGGGGCACCTGTTTATGGGTGGCTCGTGCTCGAGGTGCACCGTTCGTGAGCTTTTTAGGGCTGGATGGGCTGTGGTCATGGTGTCCTCCAAGGGTGGGCGCCTCGGGGCCCTTGAAGGACCTTTGTGGGCTCCTCGGCCTCAGACGCCCCAGGGGGCCGAGTTTTGGGCCTTTCGCCTGGACTGGGGCCTAAGCCGATGGGCCCCTCGCACTGTTATTCAAGCTGTGCCAATGTTGTGCTGCGTCAAAGTACGTGCTCTGCCGAGGCCTTGGGCCCGAAGAGGCAAGATGCTGGCCTTGTTTTACAGGCTGGAAACCTGTTTGGCAAGCGTTGCGTGTCTTTTAACAAGGTAGGGGCGAACAAAGATGTCGACGAAGAAGGAGCGAGCGCAGAGGAGAGGTTTCGTCGTATGGGCAACTTCTTCGCCGACGCTGCGACGCAAGAGGCTGTGAGCCTCCACCTTTCTTTGGGCCCTCCCAGGAGGAGGATTTGAAGCGCACTTTAAGTATTTCCCGCCACGTCCTGCTGGCGGGAGCTCAGCTGTTGCCACTTTGGCCGAAGGTTGATTTTCGAGGTCTGGTGAGAGAGTGAGCGCCGCCTCCTCCAGCTCGTGACACCTTATCTGTCGAGCACGAGTGGGAGCGAATGGGATCCGTCTGGAGGTGCCGTGTGTGCCTGAAGGGCTCCAGGAGCGCCTCCAAACCGACAGGGACTGAATGTTCGTGCCGGTGCAAGCTCGACCAGGGGCCTCTGATGCGGTTGGGTCATCGAGTGCTGGCGTTCCCGTGCTCTGACAGTTCTCACTTGTTCCTTTGCTTGTCTTGCAAGTTTCACAGCTCTGGATGACAGGTGATTGGCCTAGGCCGTAAATGCGGCCTTCCTACGGAGATTGGCGTGAAGAACATGCGCAGTCTGCGTAAAGGCCGACACCCTGACAAGAAGGGTGTCGCAGTCGGTATCAACGAATTCATCCAATTGTTGTGATCGTTCAGATCGCACCTGCTCCTGAGCCCCAAGATCAAATCTAGCTGTGGTTGGCCAGTATACGATGATGTTTTGCTGCTAGGGGCCTGGGCGTTGCTGCCAAATAAGAGTGGTGCCTGCTTCCGTGTAGTGTCCCACACCATTTCGTCCCACACCATTTCTTCCTGGCACGTTCCAAGCCGCTACCGAGCGAACAAGGAGGCGAGGAGGAGGACGAAACGGATGATGATGTTGATCATGATGATGCTGCTGATGATGATGGTGATGATGATGATGCTGATGGGGATGATGAGGACGATGAGTATGATGATGATGAGGATGATGATGATGAAGAGGAGGAGGAGAAGCAGGACGAGGAGGAGGAGCAGGGGGATGGGGGAGGAGGACCTCCCTGCGCTGAATCGAACAGCTCGGATCAAGCCCTGGCGCCCTCTACCCGCCGCCCGAGGCGGCAAGGACTCCTTCGACGGGCGGTCCAGCTACGCGCCTGGCAAGGGCGACGCTGGTGGCAAGGCTCTTCCCTCCTACTTGAGAGGAGGAGGAGGAGGAGGCGTATTTTTCGAATTCGGAGGAGGAGAAAAAGAAAAGGAGGATGGAACGGATGAGGAGGAGAAGGCGGAGGACTAGGACGAGGAGGTGGAGGAACGTGAATGGGAGGAGGAGGAGGATCAGGAGGAGGCGGATGATGATAATCATGCTGATGATGATGAGGAAGATGATGATCATGATGATGATGCTGATGATCATGCTGATGATGATGGTGCTATGATGAGGATGATGAAGAGTATGTTGATGACGGTGATGCTGATGATGAGGATTTGATGATGCTGATGATTATAACAAGGATGGTGATGTTGATGCTGATGATGATGCTGTTGATGCTGATGATGCTGATGCTGATGCTGCTGCTGCTGCTGCTGACGATGATGATGATGGTGGTGGTGGTGGTGGTGATGATGATGATGATGATGATGATGATGGTGGTGGTGGTGGTGATGAGGAAAAGGAGGAGGAAGAGGAGGAGGAAGCGGAGGAGGAGAAGGGGCATGAGGAGGAGGAGGAGGAGGAGGAGGAGGAGGAGGAGGAGGAGGAGGAGGATGAGGAGGAGGATGAACAGGGCCGTCATGAAGGAACGGGTTGTGCAGGGAAAGGGGTTCCTCCAGGGTTTTCGCCGTCTTCGGGTTCCCGGGGGTCCTCCCCTGGCCCAGGAGCCGTCAGCAAGCATAGTTCATGGTGAACAGCCGGTCCAATGGAAAACCCCGAGGTCCAGGGCCAGTTTTCGCCAGCACCACCCTGTGCGAATGCCAAGAGACGAAGTGGAGGAGGAGGAGGAGGAGGAGGAGGTGGAGGAGGAGGAGGAGGAGGAGGAGGAGGAGGAAGAGGAGGAGGAGGAGGAGGATGAGGAGGAAGAAGAATAATGACAATAATAATAAGAATAATAATAATACTACTACTAATAATAATAAGACCAAGAAGAAGACGACTACTAATAATAATAAGAATAAGACGAATAAGAAGACGAAGAAGAATCATACTAATACGAAGAATAATAATCATACGAGTAATAATAATACTAATAATAACAATAATATTAATAAGAAGAAGACTAAGAAACATACTAAGAATAATACTAAGAAGAATAATAACAATAATAATAACAAGAATAATAATAATAATAATAATAATAATAATAATAATAATAATAATAAAAATAATAATAATAAGAAGAATCAGAAGACAAATAATAATAAGAATAATAAGAATACGAAGAATAATAAGAATAATTATAAGAAGAAGAATAAGAATAATAATAATAATAAGAAGAAGAAGAGGAGGAGGAGGAGGAGGAGGAGGAGGAGGAGGAGGAGGCGGCGGCGGCTCGGCGGCGGCGGCGGCGGCGGCGGCGGCGGCGGAGGAGGAGGAGGAGGAGGGGAGGAGGAGGAGGGAGGAGGAGGAGGAGGAGGAGGAGGATGGCGGCGGCGGCGGCGGCGGCGGCGGAGGAGGAGGAGGAGGAGGAGGCGGAGGCGGAGGCGGAGGAGGCGGAGGAGGCGGAGGGAGGCGGCGGAGGCGGAGGAGGCGGAGGAGGAGGAGGAGGAGGAGGAGGAGGAGGAGGAGGAGGAGGAGGAGGAGGAGGGGGAGGTGTTAACAATAACGAGGGCAACTGGGTCAGGATAATGGTAGTATTTTTGTTACCGAGCGTACGTCGCGATCGATGCCGTTTGGCTTAAAGTGAGTGATCGTCAACGTTCGTGTCGCGCGTATGGGTGTGGAACACAAACATAAACGTCGTGATCGTCCCCGTGCCTATCCTCCCCGAGGGCTTGCATGGTAGCGGAGCGTGGTTGACCCCACGAGCAATGACGGGCGCTGCCGCTGCCGTGGCCGCTGTAGGGCCAGGAGATCTAGAGCAGTGTTCCTCGCCCGTCGGCCCCGCCCTCGGCAGCCTAGTTCCGTACTAACAGATGGAGATTTCAGCAATCCCCAGAGCTTCGCACAGGTGTGCCTCTATCTTCGTGCATACGCTCTGCCCCCAGACTGCGGCGTCGACGACAAGGTTGACCACTTCGTCGCCGCTGCTCGCCAGGCCGCGCGCCGCGGTCTGGGGGGCGCAGGGGACTGCCCTCGCCAACGGTGGATTCAGCCCGCCACGTGGGCTTTGATCAAGGTGCAGAAGCTCAGTCGACGGCTGGGCGTCGCGGCCGTCATGCATCGCAACAGCTTCAAGTTGGCGCGGGTGTGGACGGCCTGGGAATGCCAGTGCTCGCGCCCGTTCCGGCCAGGGTGTGCTCCGCCGTCGTTGGGTTGGGGCGCCGCCGCCCACGCCAGCTCCTTACGACGACGAACCCTGACCTGGAACGCGCTGGGGGCTGCCACGCAACGCGTCGGCATGCAGCTCGGATTCCACATCCAGAGTTGCATCGCGGCTGACAGGATATTGCACTTGGAGTCTCGGGCGTCTGAGGCTCAACGAGCTGCCAGTCGACACGATTCGCGCGGACTGTGCGGCATCTTGCGGTCGCTTGGGGGTGTCAGCCAATCTCCAGTTGCTCACCCAGTCTTGAAAACGGACGGCCGTTTGATCACGAGCGAGCCTGAGCGTCAGGCCCGGTGGCAAGAGCACTTCAAGGACGTCTTTTGGGGCACCGCGGCCACTGCAGGTGAGTTGCGAGCGAAGCCGTGCGACCCCCGCTCGACGTGGGCTACGCCGTGACCGTCAACGACATTGGCTCCTGGAAGGCGCTGGGACGGAACAAGGGCGTGGTCAAGGACGGGCTCCTGGCAGAGTTTTTCAAGGCCGCGGCTTCTGTCACGGCCCCCATCGCCACTGAGCTTTACAACGAGGTCATCGCCACTGAGGCATGGCCCATGCGCTGGACAGGGGGCGCATGCAGGACATCTTCAAGCAGGAAGGCTCTCGCGCTGTGTGCGACGATTCGCGGGGCATCGTTCTCGAGGACCACCTGGCGAAATGGCTGAAGCAGCACTTTTCGCTCGATGTGATGCCCGCCTGCGCCGCTAACCAGCCAGGATGCGCAGCACGGGGCCGTTTGCGGTCGCAGCGCCGACTTTGCCACACATATGGTGCGTGCAGCCTTGGACTACGCTGCGATGGCACAGATGAGAATCTTGGTGCTCTTCATGGACTTGGTCAAAGCGTTCGACCGCATCATCCGCGAGGTCACGTTGGGTTGGCCTGCGGGGTTGTCGGACGCCCGAGCCTACTTGCGAAGCATTGGACTCACAGAGTCTCTGGCGGAGTGGATCGCCCCGTTCGTCTCAGTCCATGGCTGTCTCTTTGAGCAATGGGGCATGCATCCCACAGTCATTCGTTTGATGAAGAACCTGCACGCCGCCTCCTGGTTAAGCTATGGCCAGGTCGACGAGGCGGTGGCCACCCAGGTCGGTGGACGTGAAGGGTGTAAGTTCTGGGCCTGCTCGTTCAATTCCACGTTCAGCGTTGCATTGTTCATGACTCACGATGTGCTGGTGCAGGCTGGCATTGTCCTGCTGGTTCGCTGTCACGACGCAGCCCCGTGGAGACCGGCGCCCCCGGGGCTGACGGCGTGCCAGTGAACGTGCTGGGCGCGGCCGTCGGGGCGTTGTTGAAGCACGTGCAGAGCCACTACACGGCGCTCAACCTCGAGATCAGCTAGAACGTCGGGAAGACGGAGGCCTTCCTCATTTACAGAGAGCACGAGGCTGCGCAGCGCAGGCGCGCGCGCCGTCCGGCCGGCGGAGGCCCTCTTAGCATTCCTGTTCCTGGGACCCCATCCACGCTGCGTGTCGTTTCCGTGTGCAAGCACTTTGGAGGCGAAATTGCTGCCTCGGCCTCTCTTGTCCCCTCAGCACAGGGTCGGAGGCGACACGACCTAGCTGCGTGGGCCTTGCTGGCCTTGAAGATTTTCGGGTCGTGCAGCGTCGATATTGATCTAAATCAGTGGCTGCTTCAGACTTTGATCATGTCACGTCTGACGTGTAATTCGCATGTCGTCGCACCTACGCGCCATTGTGTATCCATTCTCAACGATGTGTACATGCGCGGGCACAGTCGCATGCGTGGCGCCGCGCGGGCCAGCCTGGGAGGGCAGACTGATCTTGAATATCGGGAGCGCAATCGATCGCCATCGTTCGATTGCCTTTTAGCTCGAGCTCGTCTCCGCTACCTCGGCCGTCTGCTCCGCTCGCGCCCTCCCCTCCGTTCGCGCCCTCCCGCCATCGTGTCTGCTCGCCGCGTTTTCTCTCCTCCCCCCCTTCCTCCTCCTCCTCCTCCTCCTCCTCCTCCTCCTCCTCCTCCTCCTCCTCCTCCTCCTCCTCCTCCCCCTCCTCCTCTCCTCCTCCGCGCTGCGGTGCCGCAGTGTCAGTCCAGACTTGCTGGATGGTCGGACGCCAGGCCGCTCGTCGTGGGCACGCAGTGTCCCCCTCCTCCTCGTTTTCCTCGTCCTCCCCCCTCCTTGCTCCTCGTTCCGGCCGCGCTTCACGATTGAGGATGGGGGGCTGCTCCCTTACAGCGGGGGGCTCCCGCCACTCAGCCGGTGGCCCGAATGTCGGCCACGCTCGCAGGACAGATTCTGACCGACCCTGTTCTGGCCTTGCCCTTTGCGGCGCGCTTTTGTCGCGTCGGGCCTCCTCGCTTGGAGTTGGCTGTGGTCACGGACATCTTTCTTGGGCGCGCCGGGTTTTCATCAGCGCTCTTGCGACAAGGCCCGCGGAGCAGGAGACCGGGATGGCTTGATCGTATTGTCGACGGCCTCCGTCGTCTGCGCCTGACGGTGGCATTGTGCGCTGCGTTGCCAGATCCAGACGGCCGCCCAGAAGCGTGGAACAAGTGTGTGGTAGCAGACCCGCCTCGGTGGAAGAAATCTGTTGCGATGCTTCATTTTGTCGACTCGATTTGCGACGTCCGGGCTCTTCCCGACGACGCGCAGACACGCCGACCTCCCGCGTGTATACAGATTGCGAAAAGTGGCGTTTGCCACTGCGAACAAAAACTTGCCCAACGCAGGCGAATTAAACATGGGGGGCGCTGCCCCCTCAGCGATTTTACGCACCAGCCAGTGGAATCCGCCCGGCGTGCCACGCAAAATTTGGCACCAGACTGGCGCTGTTGAGCCACCTGTGCGACGAACTGCGCAGTGCACGTTGGAACGCAATCGCACGAAACCCTAAGCGGTGCGCCAAGGTGCCGGCATCCATGGTGGAGGCCCTGGATGATATAGACCGGGAGGCACGCAATGCTGCCCGTAAATCTGGTCACGCGCACGCCCTCGCAACAGGCGGGTGCGTACGGAGTGACGGCGCGCACGTTGGCCGCCTGACCACTTGACGGGCACAGCTCGCGTGTGACGTATGTATGGCTAGTTTTACTTTCTTGTGACACTGAGCGCAACCCTTGCGCAGCAAAAACATATATCCTAGGTCTGCTCATTTTGTCATTCGCGTGACTTTCCTCTTTTCCATCATTTTTAGATCCTTTGTAGGCAGATTCACTCAGACTCAGAGTCACTCGCCGTCAGAACGCGCAGCTCACACTAACATCACGCAGACCCATACTCACTCATATCTCGAGTACGGGGTCTTGTTTTCCACATGCCGTAAGACAGTGTTTCTCTTGTTCATGTTCATTAACACTCCTTCTGCCTCACCCTCGTACCCAGATGTCCACTCACGCCTAAGACTCATTCAGAGTAATTCGCGTCGAAACTCGCTCACACCCAGACTAACGCATATTCAGGCTTACGCATACTCGCACTCATTCGCACGCATACGCGCTCATATTCAGACTCAGGCGCATACATCTTCACTCACGCTCGGACGCGTACACTCAGACCTACTCGCATTCAGTCTCGCAGCGCCGGAGCATGTCTCGAGCAAGGCGTTTGTTTCAGCACCACAAGGGGGAGCCGCCAGGGGGTTATTTCACGGGCCCGTTCGCCCCCAGATAGCGGGGATGTCTCATGCGGTTTGCCTCGGACTTTGGTTCTCTCACTGCAGGTTGTGAGGATGTCTCGAGCGAGGCGCTGGTTTCGGCACCCCAAGGGAGGGGCGCCAGAGGGTGTTGCACGGGCCCGTTTGCGCCCATAATATTGTGGGGATTTCTCAGGCGGTCTGCTTGTTTGGTTGCTTGGCCTTCGGTACTTGTAGAACAGACTTTGGAGATCTTTTGAGCGAGGCGCTGGTTTCAGCACCCCAGGGGGGGCGCCAGAGGGTATTTCATGGGCCCGTTCGCGCCCAGAAAGTCGGGATGTCTCATGCATTCTGCCTGTTTTGTGGCTTGGACTTCGGTTCATGTGTTGCAGATTGTCAGAATGTCTCCAGCGAGGCGCTGGTTTTAGCATCCCATCGACCCAGGACGACCTCGATCGAGGAATATGGAGGTTGAAGATGAAAAAGCATGGCTTGAGTGATGAAGAGGAGGACGAGGACGATGGCGAGGACAAATATGACGATACGGATGAGGAATCTGATGATGAGGATGATGCGGATGATGATGCTGATGATGATGCTGCTGCTGCTGCTGATGATGATGTTGATGATGGCGATGATGAGGATGATGATGATGCTGATGCTCGTGATGATGATGATGATTATGATGATGATGATGATGATGATGATGATGATGATGATGATGATGATGATGCTGATGATGATGATGATGATGATGATGATGATGATGATGATGATGCAGATGCTTACGTTGATGCTGATGCTGCTGATGATGCTGATGATGACAACGACAAAGAGGATGATGATCAGGATGATGATGATGATGATGATGATGATGATGATGATGATGATGATGATGATGATGATGATGAGAAGGAGGAGGAGGAGGAGGAGGAGGAGAAGGAGGAAGTCAAGGAGGAGGAAGAGGTGGAGGAGGAAGATGTGGATGATGATGATGCTGCTGCTGCTGATGCTGATGATGATGATGATGACGCTGATGATGCTGCTGCTGATGATGATGATGATGATGAGGAGGAGGAGGAGGAGGAGTAGGAGGAGGAGGCGTGTTGCCTTTGTGTCGTGCTCCGGCGCATATCCGAAGCCGGAGTTCATGTTTGGGCATTTCAAGGGGGGGAGCCGCCAGGGAGGGAGCGCTCAGGCGCCACTGGCTGAGATTTTCTCACCCAGACACTCACTGGCGTAAGTGCTAGGAATTGAGATGAACATATGGTGATCTTCGCGTTTAGTGATTCAGATTGTTGTTCTTGCTCCTCCTCTTCTTCTTCTTCTTCTCCTCCTCCTCCTCCTTCCTCCTCCTTTGTCCTGGCCGCGCCCTCGGACAAAAACATATCGTGAAGGGAGACTTCGGTGGTGGCAGAGAGGGCTACCACCACGGCGGCAAGGGGGATTTCGGAGGCAAGGACGGCTTCGGCGGCAAGGACAACTTCCAGGGCGGCAAGGGCCCCTACAAGGGCGGACCAGGTGCCCCCAGCTGGACAAGAAGGGGGGGCCAGGAGGCGGGCCGACCAGACGTCTGTATGTGACCTCAGGGTCGATGTTTGGGGTTCTTCCTCTTCTTTTCCTTCTCCCCCTCCTCCTCCTCCTCCCTCCTCCTCCTCCTCCTCCTCCTCCTCCTCCTCCTCCTCCTCCTCCTCCTCCTCCCCCTCCCCCTCCCCCTCCCCCTCTTCCTCCTCTCGCGCTTCTGGCAAGGGGGCGTACTCTCCCTCCAGTCCCTCCCCCCGGGGAGCATACCTGGCCCCCAGGGGACCCCTTCTGGGCCAGCTTCTGGGCTCGGGGCCCGACGTCGCCAGTGGCATCGCTCCCCAAGTGGTGGTCGTACACCCTAGGCGATGCTTAAGAAAACTTAAGTTTTCGGCCATAGTCTCGATTATTCTTAGTGTTTCAATGTAAATCCTAAGATTTTAAAAGAAATTCTGAGTTTTTATTCAAATTCTGAGACTCTGAATTTCTTAACCCATGATTTCTTAAGCATTTTGCAGGGTGTAATCGTGGTCGTGGTGAGTGGAGCAAGAAAATATTCTGATCTCCCGGCAGCCCAGGCGGACCCTGCGGCGGGTGCGGCGGCTGCGGCGGAGGTCGGGGGGCTTTGGCCACAAACGCCCGCAGGCGGTCCTGGGCCGGGCCAGTCCTCTGGACCCAGGACCGCTGGCACGGCAGGTTCGCGACACGCCTGGCGCGGCTGCGACCCCGGCACGGGCGTTCAAGGTTGGGCGCCGTCGGCTGCTCAGAATCGGCCGACGCCGAACGATCTGCGGCATCGGAGAGCCGCGACGTGGCAGGTTTGAACGATCCGCGCGGTGTCTGGAGCCCGTGCCGACGCCACGGCGACGCGGGCCCGCCAGGCGTCGCTTCCGTGCCAGGCCAGGAGGGCGAGGGCGTGTGCACCGATCCCCGGCCCAGGCGGGGCCCGGGCCAGGGTCGGTGCAGTTGTGCAGTGGGCGTTCCCCCTGGGAGGCGAGTGCGGCGGCGGGGGCTGCGGGGGCTGCGGCGCAGGCTTCGGCGCCGGGTGCGGCGGGGGGCCCCCGCCCGCCGCGTGCGGGGGCGGCAGCCCGCAGGGCTTCGGCGGCTCGGCGGCCCCTGGCAACTGGGCGCCGGGCGGCGGCGGGGGCCCTGGCGCGGGCGGGCAGAACGGCTTCAGCATGGGTCCCTCGGGCAAGTTCCAGCAGCCAGGCGGTCGTGGGTGGGAGGTGCATGCGCTTGTCCACGGCCTCGGGCTCTGGGCTCCTCGGCGGCGTCCCCACGGATCCCAGGCGGCTTCTGCGCGGATGCCCCGCGCGCAACGTATCAATGGGTTCGCCAGCCCATGGGGTCGCGCCTCGGTGTCCAGACCGCGAGGGCTTGTACCTTCACTGTACCCGTCGATCGAATCCTTTTCCCGCTGCCCCATCTCCCCTCGCCCCGCTCGGGCGAGGGGCGGCTGTGGAGGGATTCGACTGGTGGTCATAGCGAAGGTGTCCCAGGCGGAGGCCCGAGTGGCGGTGGTCCTGGGTGCGGCGGGGCCGCGGGCTTCACCAGCCCCAACGGCGGCCCTGGCCAGCCCTGCTTCGGTGCCGCCAGGTTCCCCGATGACGGCTTCGGAGGCGGAAAGAGCAAGGGAGGAGGTCGCGGGCGCGGCGGAGATGGCGCTAAGGGGCGGCGTGGCGGTCGGGGTGGGGACGACATGGGCCGTGGTGGCGAAGGCATGGGGCGTGGAGGCGGCCGAGAGATGAACGGGGGTATGTGTGGCGGAATGGACTCCACGATGGGCGGCGGAATGGGCGGGCCCATGCCTGGCGGCATGGGCGCCAGCATGAATGTTAATATGTGTGGTGGCATGGATGGAATGAGCGGCATGGGCGGCAATATGTGTAGTGGCATGGGTGGCCAGATGGGTGGAGCACCTGCCGGGCCTCACAGTGGCATGGGAGGCCCAATGGGCGGAGGGGGCATGCAGGGCGGTGACATGGGTGGAAACTTCCCCATGGGCAGTTGCATGGGTGGTGGCCCGATGCACATGGGAGGTGGACCAATGAACATGGGAAGTGGCAAGGGTGGCCCTGGTGAAGGCATGAGAGGCAACACTGGAGCTGGAGGCATGGGTAATCGCGGCGGCCCTGGTGACGGAATGGGTGGTGGAAGAGGCCGCGACAACAGTGGTGGAGGCGGCGGAAGAGGTGGGAAAAAAGGTGGCGCCAACATGGGTGGCAACATGGGTGGCAACATGGGAGGTACCATGGGTGGTGGCATGGGCGGCGGCATGGGTGACATGATGGGCGGTGGTATGGGACCCATGGGCGGCGGCATGGGTGGTGGCATGGGTGGCGGTATGGGTGACTGTATGGGGGGCGGCATGGGCGGCTGCACGGGAGGCGGCATGGGTGGCTGCATGGGCGGCGGCATGGGTGGCTGCATGGCCAGAGGCATGGGTGGCGGCATGGGCGGCGGCATGGGTGGCGGCATGGGCGGCAGTGGGAGCGGCGGAATGGGCGGTGGCATGGGTGGCGGCATGGGCGGGAACCCGATGGGAAGCAAGAAAGGCGGAGGCAGAGGGCAGGGATTCGGCGATGGCCGCATGGACCGAGGTGCTGGTCGGCTGGGTCATCAGCAGCAGCAGCAGCAGGCGCTGCGGCCGCCTCAGAACAAGCAGCGAAGTGTTGGCTCCAAGACCGCCGACAGCGACAACAACTGGCGCTCCGGCAGCGCGCAGGAGGCCAAGGCCAGGGTCGAGGCCATCGCCGCGGCCACGACCACCCCCGAGGCGCGCGTGATGGCCCATCCGCCGCCCGCGGGCGGGCTGCCGGAGCAGGCCCCCGTGCCGCCGATGCCCGTCCAGCCCGTGGTGCAGCCGCTGGGGCCCGGGGCGCAGCCGCCGGGGCCCGAGGCGCGACCGCCGCCCATGCCGCAGGCTCAGCCGGGCATGCCTGGGGCCGTGCCGCATGCTCAGCCGGGCATGCCAAGGCCCGTGCCTCCGGCTCAACCGGACATGCCCGTGCCTCAGGCTCAGCCGGACATGCCGGCGCAGCCTGAGCTTCCCGGGGAGCCCGGCGTGCCCGTGCAGTCGCTGCCTCCGGGGCGGGTTGCATGAGCCCCTGCCCTTCAGCGCGTCCGAGCTCGCAGCCGTGCCCCCTGCCCCGTCCCCCCCTCTGCGTGGCAGGCTCGTGTGTGAGGAATGGGGAAGGAGTGGGGGGGAAGAAGGAGGAGGAGGAGGAGGAGGAGGAGGAGGAGGAGGAGGAGGAGGAGGAGGAGGAGGAGGAGGAGGAGGAGGAGGAGGAGGAGGAGGAGGAGGAGGAGGAGGAGGAGGAGGAGGAGAGGAGGAGGAGGAGGAGGAGGAGGAGGAGGAGGAGGAGGAGGAGGAGGAGGAGGAGGAGGAGGAGGAGGAGGAGGAGGAGGAGGAGGAGGAGGAGGAGGAGGAGGAGGAGGAGGAGAGGAGAGGAGGAGGAGGAGGAGGAGGAGGAGGAGGAGGAAAAGGAGGAGGAAACGCAGGTGGATAGTGATGATGATGATGATGATGATGATGATGATGATGATGATGATGATGATGATGATGATGATGATGATGCTGATGATGATGATGATGATGTTGATGATGATGATGATGATGATGACGATGATGATGATGATGATGGTGGTGGTGGTGGTGGTGGTGATGGTGATGGTGATGGTGATGGTGATGGTGATGATGGTTTTGGTTGTGTTTGTGATTGTGGTTGAGCTCAATTATTGTTGATCCCCCCTGCCCGGTGCACCTCGTGCTTTTAAGTTAACGTGCTCCTTCCAGGGCTCGCACCCAGTTTTTTTCAAGGAAGTCTTCCTCCTCAGCTTGTGTTGTTTGCCCCCTTTGCAAAACAACAGCGGCTCCCGCCTGATACTTCCTCACGATATATTTCAAAATCGCGCTCTTGCGCGGGATCTTTTCATAATTTATGCAGGAACCGCGCTTTCGCGTTGTAATTGCTCGCGATTTATTGCGGCGCCGCGCCCTCGACATTCAGGAACCATGCTCTCGCCCACGCTTTACTTACCTGGGAATCTCGCTATCGTCCGAGACCTCCTCGCGATTCGTGCAGGACGCACGTTTCAGCAGCCAGCCTACTCGACCTGGCCGCCTGGGCCTGCCTTCCCAACCCACCCGTCAGGGTCCGCCCGCCCGATCAGCCCGTCTGCTTCTGCCACGTGTTTTCTGCTCCTGGCCCCCTCCTGCTAATCTCTCTCGTGCTCCATCCTTCTCCCTCCGCCTTCCATCCGTCCTCTCTTCCCCTGTTTTAGGGGCTGCGCCAATTACACGTATAAGGAAGGTATAGCCCGAAGGGGGTTACGATCGAAGACGAAGAGGACGGGCACCGAGGGCTCAGGACATGCGTCCTGCATGGCGCGCGAGCAGGTAAGAGCGAACAGTCTAAAAAAATGTTGCTGAATTCCCAGCTCACAATTAATCATTGTTGATCCCTCCTCCGGTGCACCTGGTGGTTTTCAGTTCATGTGCTCGTCCCCGGGCTCGCACCCTTTTTAATTACAAGTGGAAGTCTTGGTCCTCAAGCTGTGTTGTTGGCCCCCGGTTTACGACAGCGGCTCCCGCCTCATGCTTCCTCACAGTCTGTTTCACAATCGCGCTCTCGCGCGGGATCTCCTCATAATCTGTGAAGGAACCGCGCTGTCGCGTGGCCCTTGCCCGCAATTCCTTGCGGCGCCGTGCCCCCCAGACTCAGGTGTCACGCTCTCGCCTTGGATTTGCTCACGATTTATTCCGGGATGTCGCTATCGATCGAAACTTCCCTGCGATGCATGCTGGACGGAGTGGCGCCTCAGCGGCCCGCCCGCTCGGCCGCCTGGGCCCGCCCGCCCGAGCTGCCCCCTGGGTGTCCGCCCGCCCGACCCGCCCGCCTGGTCTTGCCGCTTGTGCTTCCTGCTCCTGACCCCCCTCCTGCAAGCATCTCTCGTGCTCCAGCCCTCCTCCTGCAAACATCCCTCGTGCTCCTGGCCCTCTCCCTCCCCGTTGTCTCTTCCCTCCTCCCTCCCTTCCCCTGCTCTGGCGGCTGCGCCGGCTGCGCGCGGCAGGCCGGGGAGATAGACCCCCAATTGGGGGGTACGATCGACGGCGCAGAGGGCAGGTATCGAGGGTTTGGGATGCACGTGTTGAATGGCACGTGGGCAGATGCGAGCCGTCTTAATATGAGTGTTGTTGTTGCTGCTGTTGTTGTTGCTGTTGCTGTTGTTGTTGTTGTTGTTGGATAGGGACGGGCCACGGCCCTTGGGCGCTCCCCCAAAACACCACCACCAACAACACTCATCTTAAGACTGTTCGCTCTTACCTGCTCGCGTGCCATTCAACACGCAAATCTCAAGCCCTCGGTACCCGCCCTCTTGTCTTCGATCGTAACCCCCTTGGGTGTAAATCTTCATTGCCTGCCACCTGCCTTTTGTGCATCCCCTAAGGCAGGGGAAGAGAGGACGGATGGAAGGGTGAGGAAGAAGGGTGGAGCACGAGAGAGGTTTGCAGGAGGAGGGCTAGGAGCAGAAAACACGTTGTAGAACCAGACGGGCAGACCGGGCGGGCAGACCCTAGCGGGCGGGTCGGGAAGGCGGGCCCAGGCGGCTAGGTCGAGGAGGCGGTTTGCTGAAGCGTGCGTCTTGCATGAGTCGCGAGGAAGTCTCGAGCGATAGCTCGATTCCCAAGTACATCGCTAGAACAACCCAGCGAGAGCGTGATTCCTGAGTATCGGGGGAGCGGCGTCTGAATAATTTGAGGAAGTCCCACGCGAGAGCGCGATCACTGCGTACATTCAGAGGAATTCCCTCGCAAGAGCGCGATTTTGGAATCAAGAGTGGGGAAGTCTCAGGCGGGAGTCGTTGTTGTTGTAGTTCGGGGCCAACGCCGTTTTAGCAGGAATACATTTTTGTTGTTGTTTTTGTTTTATGTTGTTGTTGTTGCTGTTGGTTTTGTTGTTGTTGTTGTTGTTGTTATTGTTGTTGCTGCTATTGTTATTTGTATCATTCGTATCTTCATTATTATTATTTCCATGACTGCTTTTTTTATTCAATGTTATAAACATGTTATATTTTAGTAACATGAGTAGTGCTCATGATGCATGCATATATATATATATATGTATATATATATATATATTTATATATATATATATGTATGTTTACATACATGTATACATAACGGTGCGAGCCCCGAGGGGGACACGTCAAATGAACATGTACAATGTGCAGCGGTGGGGATGGGTCAACAATAGAAGTGAGAATTCAACAACACCAGCAACACTCATCTTCTGTTCGCTCTCACCTGCTCGCGTGCCATTCAACACGTGTATCCCAAACCCTCGGTACCCGCCCTCTTCGTCTTCGATCGTGCCCGTACCCCCTCTGGGGGTATATCTTCCTCACCTGCCACGTGTAATTGGTGCAGCCCCTAAAACAGGTGAAGAGAGGACGGATGGAAGGGGGAGGGGAAAGGACGGGGAACACGGGATTCGCAGGAGGGGGTCCGGAGCAGAAAGCACGTGACAGAACCAGACGGGTTGGTCGGGCGGGTAGACCCTGACGGGAGGGTCGGGTAGGCGGGCACAAACGCCCAGGTCGAGAAGGCTTGTTGCTGAAGCGTGAGTACTGCATGAATCGCGAGGAGAGCTCGGGCGGCAGCGCGATTCTCAAGTAACTTGTGAGAAAGGCCAGAGCGAAAGCGTGGTTCCTGAGTGTCGAGGGCGCTGCGTCTGAATACGTTGCGAGGAAACCCCGCGCGAGAGCGCGATTCCTGCATCAGTTGTGAGGGTGTTCCGCGCGAAAGCGTAACTTTGGGAATACATTGTGAGGATGTGAGGAAGTATCAGGCGGTATCCGCTGTTGTTGTAACCTGGGGGCCAGGGGCAAAGTTTAGCGACCTTCATTTTTGTTGGTGTAACAAGCAGGTTGCGAGCCCTGGGAGAAGCACTTTAATTGAAACTTGCAAAGGTTTCCGGAGCCGGGATCAATAGTAATTCTATATATGTACACATACATACCTAAAAGAGGAGGCATCAACAACAACAACAGCGACAACAACAATCATTTTAACATTGCTCGCTCTTATCTTCTCGCAGGCCATTCAAGTAGATCCCACATGTCCCAAACCCTCGATACCTACCCTGTTAGTCTTCGATCGTGCCCCTTTTAGGGTATGTATGTATGTATGTATGTATGTATGTATGTATGTATGTCTGCATGTATGTATGTATATATATATATATTCTTTATCAGCAGCGTGTATTTCGTGCAACCCCTAAGGCAGGGGAAGAGAGGACGGATGGAAGGAAGGGACAAGGGGGAGGGAGAAGGATGGAGCACGAGAGAGAGAGAGAGAGAGATCGAGAAAGACCGTAGGAGGAGGGGGGCCAGGCGCAGAAAACATATGGCAGAACCAGACGGGATCACCGGGCGGGTAGACCCTTATGGGCGGGTCGGGAAGGCGGGCCCAGGCGGCCAGGTCGAGCAGGCGGGTTGCTGAAGCGTGCGCCCCGAATGAATCGCGAGGAAGTTTCGAGCGATAGCGCGAGTCCCAAATAAAGCGCCAGTAGATCCACAGCGAGAGCGCGATTCTTGTGTGGACGTCCCGCGCGAAAGCGCGATGTGGGAATACACTGTGTGGAAATATCAGGCTGGAGCCGTTGTTGTTGTTGTTGTTGTTGTTGTTGTTGTTGTTGATGTTGTTGATGTTGTTGATGTTGTTGATGTTGTTGTTGTTGTTGTTGTTGTTGTTGTTGTTGTTGTTGTTGTTGTTGTTGTTTCATTTCTGAAGAATAATTATTGTTGATCCCCCGTCACCGGTGCATACTGTTTTTTATCAATCAAAGTGTGCCCCCTCGACGCTCGCACCTTGTTTTTTGACAGGGAAAGTCTTGATGCTCAAACTGTGCCCCTGGCCCCCGGGTTACAACAACAATGGTTCCCGCTTCAGACTTCTTTACAATTTAGCCATGACCCCCGCTCCCGCCCGAGACTTCCTCGCATTTTATTCAGGAATCGCGCTCTCGCGTGGGGCTTCCTTACAATGTATACAGGATTCGCTTTTCCAGCGCTCTGAAGTCGCGCTCTCGCCGGAGACTTGCTGGCAATTTACTGACGAATAGCGCCCTTGCATGGGAATTTCCCGCAATTTACTCAAGCGCCGCGTTCCCGACACCCAGG